GTATCCAGCAGCTTCCCCGTGGGGCCTGGGGGCGCTGGCCTCCACAGGAGGACTCACCCACCAGTGTGCTGGGCTGTCCCTCCCTGCAGGGTCAGCCCCGAGCTGCAAACTCGCACGACCGTCCTCATCACGGGTCCTGCTGACTCCTCCCGGCAGTCCTCGGGGAGGGTGGGCTTGGCCTCCCTGTGACCGTGGGGTGAGGGCGGGTCTGTGGCCGAGGCCATTGGAGTGGTTCATTGCTTCTATTTTGACCCATGGTGTGGTTAGGAGGTCCGGGGGTTTTGATGCTGGAACTGAGTGGTGGGTTCTCATAGGCATTTTGTGAGTGGCCTGTGGCCAGCGCCCTCTGCAGGTGGGAGTGGAAGAGGCAGGTGGTAGGGAGTGACCACCACAGCCCCGCCTCCAGCTACAGCCAGCTGTGCTGGGCTTCCGGGCCCCTCCAGGCTGTTCCGCGCCTTCTCCTGTTGGCCGTGGGACCCCAGCAGGATCCTCTGTACGGGGCAGGAAGCTGACGCCAGAGGAGCAGGGGCCGTGTGTGTGGTTGCCCCGTGTGTCACGGTGCCCGGGGGGTGCCAGCTGCTAGCTGCGTGCTCCTTTACCCCCTCAAGGACTCTGTCCGGGCTTGCTCTATCCTGAGCCTACCTCACGTCCCTCCCGCCCACACATGGCGGTGGCCATTTCCTCGTGGCTGCCAGCTGACACGCCTGCCTCTCCCACAGGGCTACCTGTTTGGGTGGTCCCAGTCCCGGAGCAGCCCCTGGTTGGTGGCCTATCTCGTGGTGCTGGTGGTGTCCCTGACAGACTGGCTCGTGTCCCTGAGCCTCCTTTGTCGGGAGGTAGGTGACACGGCAGTGCCTAGACGGGAGGGGGCCTCTGGGGTGAGGGTGCCGGGGGCAGCTGCCCTAGGGAGTGGGAAAACGGGGTCCTCAGGCCCTGGGGTCACCTGGCCATCTGCCCAGCACTGACCTCTCCCCATGGTGCCCACTCACCCTGGTAGCCCTCTTGGAGATAAGTACCTCACGGCCAGGAGACACATGAGGTTTCCCTCGGTTACCCTGTGGGCCAGTTGAGGACCTGGGAACAAACTCCAGGACTCAGTTCTTGGTTCAGCACATTGCACCTGCCTGGGTCCCCCATGTGGGTGCCACCTGCATGTCACTGTGCCCCAGATGGGTATCTCTCTGGCCCAGGTGAGCATCTCTGTGGTCCAGGTGAGTGTCTCTGTGGCCCAGGTGGGGTCACTGTGCCCCAGGTGGCTGTCCAGATGGGCATCCCTGTGCCCCTAACCCAGATGGGTGTCGCTGTCCCCTAGGTGGGGGTCACTGTGCCCCAGGTGAGCATCATTGTGCCCCACGTGGGGGTCACTGTGCCCCTGCCCCAGGTGGTCATCATGGTGCCCCACTTGGGGTCACTGTGCCCCAGGTGGGCATCACTGTGCCCTAGGAGGGCACAGGCGGAGCTCTGTGGTGCTGGTAGTCCCCACCTCTGCTGGAGGAATCTGGTTCCCTAGGACCCCTCACTGGGCTTTTGTGGGAGCCAGGCTTGGGATCACTTTGCTGGTCAGCATCAGCTGGGGAGACTGGGTCTGTAATGGTCAGGGCTTCCAGTGAAATAGGGCTGGTAGGAGACAGAGAGAGAGAGAGAGAGAGAGAGAGTGTGTGTGTGTGTGTGTGTGTCTGCATAGATACACATAATCTGGGTCTGGGTACAGCTGCTCACTGACCAGAAAAACCCAAAACTATAGAGTCAATTCCAACTCAGCGCCTCTAGAGGACAGAGTGGAACTGTCCGCAGGGTCTCCCAGGCCGTCAGGCTTTACAACAGCTGACTTCCACATCTTTCTCCCACGGAGTAGCTGGTAGGTTCGAGCTGCCGACCTTTTCGTTGGCAGCTGAATGCTTTAACCCCTGTGCCATGAGAATGAGGTTGCCCGTGGTGGGCAGGTTTCAGTAGAACTTACAGACTAAGCCTAGGAAGGAAGGCTTGGTTATCTGCTGCTGGAAATTAGCCGTGAAGGTGTCTGGGTCGCAGCAGGGCTTCACGGAAAGGACATTGCGTTTGGTCAAGTGGAGGGTCAGTGACAGTGAGGGGACCCCTGAGGGAGGTGGAGTGACCCAGACTCAACAGTGGACTCAGACTTTCCAGTGCCCGGCAGCATCTTGGTCTGTTACACATTAGGTCAACGTGTGATGAAGTCAGCTTGACGATTAACAGCAACAATGCCTGCGCTACACCTGCACTGTGTGTGTGCGTATGTGCGTATGTATGCTGTATGTGTGTGTATGTTGAATAGAGAGTGATTTCAAGGAGTCGGCTCACACGATTGTGCAGCCTGGTGAGTCCCCAGTTCGTAGGGCATCTGGAAGCCCTCTGGCTGGTCTCAGTGTCCTGTCCACCTGCTGGTGCTGCCTGGCCAGGCTACGCGAGGCCACCTGGCCAGGCTGCATGCTGGTCGTGCTCGGCCGCTGTCCCTGGCCGTTTGCCGCAGGACGCTGCAGAGAGCACGTGGCTGTTCTCCAGCCTCGGCCTGACCTGTGCTGCCAGACTCACTCGGGGCTTGGCTGGGGCGTGGTACCTGGCACAGCAGCTGGTTCCCGTCCTTCACAGTGGCCGCCACGTGGCTCTGGCCGCCGGAGGCTCTGTGTGGGGTGACTCACAGTCCATGGGTCTGGGTCGAGCCACTCACTGACTCGGGCTGTGGCAGAGGCCGGTCCTCACTCTGTGGGGGGCTGCACACTCACTGCCTCGGACTGTGGCAGAGGCCGGTCCTCGCTTTGTGGGGGGCTGCAGTGGGGCCTTCAGTCTTGCTCAGGTGCTTGGCCTCTGGGGATGGAGGGTGGATGGTGCACAGACTCGGCCCTGGGACAGAGCTGCTCCCCGCTGGGCAGTGCTGTAGGTCTGGACGGAGGGGCTCTGAACCAGCTTTCTGCCTTTCTTCCTGGTGGCCCCTCCAAGCACTGAGGCCTCAGGGGCCACGTGCCCCTGTGATGGCAGGTGCAGGGGTATAGGCACCGGGGTCTGGGGACCGTTCACCCCTGCAATGGCAGGTGCAGGGCTCTGGGGACTGTCGGCCCCTGTGATGGCAGGTACAGGGGTACAGGCACTGGGGTCTGGGGACCGTTCACCCCTGCAATGGCAGGTGCAGGGCTCTGGGGACTGTCGGCCCCTGTGATGGCAGGTGCAGGGGTACAGGCACCGGGGTCTGGGGACCATCCGCCCGTGACAGCAGAGGCAGGGGTGCAGGCACCAGGGTCTGGGGGCCGTCGGCCCCTGTGATGGCAGGTGCAGGCCTGGTGGCTGTGACCCTGAGCTCACGGTCCTCTCGCAGACTGTGCGGATCCGCCGGCTCCTCCGCCCCTTCTTCCTGCTGCAGAATTCCTCCATGATGAAGAAGACACTCAAGTGCATCCGCTCCACGCTGCCGGAGATGGCCAGGTACGGGGCGGGGGGGCCGGAGATGGCCAGGTATGGGGCGGTGGGAGCCGGAG